AAGACACGTATCTTTCAGAGAGACGATGATGCTGACTTTCGTTACCCAGTTTTACTTCCCTCAGAACATCCATTAGTATTAAAACTGATCAAATCTGAACATGAAAGGCTAAGTCACGCTGGAGTACAATTCGTTATGTGCGCTTTGCGTGAAAAATATTGGATCATAAAGAGTAGGAAGACCGTACGCAAGGTTATCCAAAACTGTGTACGATGTCGAAGGTTCGACTCTGATTCATATAAGATTCCTCAAGCGCCACTACCTGAAGACAGAATAAGAGATGCTTTAATTTTTGAGATTATTGGTGTTGATCTGACGGGTCCCTTAATTTTAAAAGGAGGCCAAAAAAACATGGATCGTCATTTTTACTTGCGCAATATATAGAGCAGTTCACTTAGAGCTAGTCTCATCTCTATCAACCGAAAGTTTCCTGCACGCGTTCAGGCGATTCATCGCTCGAAGGGGTAGACCTGTCACTGTATACTCTGACAATGGAACCAATTTTGTTGGATCAAATAATTTGTTTAAGACCATAGATTGGAATTCTATCTTAGAAAATGCAACAGTTAAGAAAATTGAATGGAAATTTATATCCCCCCTTCCTCGCCATGGTGGGGAGGGTGGTGGGAAAGATTAATTGGAGTACTAAAGAGAATTCTTCGAAAGGTACTAGGAAAATCTTCTCTGAACTACGAAGAATTGTTGACAATCATTTGTGACTGCGAGAGCATTATGAACAACCGTCCTCTCACGTATTTGTCAGAAGACGTAAAGGATTTAAGAGCTCTCACCCCAGCAATGTTTCTAACAGAAATTCCAGAGACTGGAGTTCCTGAATTAGATCTTTTGGATTCTAAATCCATCAATAAAAGATACCTTTACAGAGCCAAATTGAGAAAAGATTTACGAAAAAGATTTCGATCAGAATATTTAGGGCAACTAAAACAAAGCTCAAAATTCATCCGCGAACCATCTTCTGTGAAAGTTGGTGATCTTGTAATTGTGTCCAACAACGAAAAAAGGATAAACTGGCCCTTAGCTAGAATCGTGGAAATTTTTCCATCCCACGACGGACACATTAGATTAGTGAAACTGAAAACTGCACAAGGGGAGATTATAAGACCTACTAAGAACCTCATACCTCTTGAACTCAACTTTACACCTGAGTCGGATATGCTAGTGAGGTACAGAACTCGACGTATGACGAAATCTCAAAAGACTTGAACTACAGGTCAGTTGAGGTCCATCCTCTGCTTGATACTGGACCTCAAGGTGGGAGTGTCGCGTTTGCTTACTAGAACTTTACTTCCACGAACGCCCTCTGGCGAAAGAGACTAAAAGTAGTCAGTTGAACGGCTGACGCGTCTAACAGATGTATAACGATAGACCGTCTCCGTATAAATTATGCTTGTAATCATTATAACTTGTAAATATTTTGTAGATATCTTTCATATGAATTAAAATTTCTTAAAAAGTTTATAGCTGTGTTTCGCAGTGAATCGAAGTTCATCATAGAGACGGATACCGACAAGAAGGAAAAGCAGGCAGTTCAGGGCAGCCCTATTTAGAAGGTAAGTGAACTTTCACTTATCTATTTAATGATCAAAAAATTTTAATAGTGCAAAGTTGATAAAATTTTTTAACAGTTATTTCAAGAATAACTACTCTGTTATTGCTACCCAGCGTCTATTTCGACAACATTTAAACTTGGGGCGTTATCAGAAAGTTCCAGATGGATGGACCATTGCGACAGACATTTCCAGGTAGAGTAATTTCTCGTTTTGGTGACATTTCCTGGCCGCCTCGCTCACCCGATCTCTCATGTACAGACATTTTCCTTTCGAGCTACCTAAAGCAAGAAGTTTTCCGAACAAGTTGTGCCACCATTCCTGAGTTGAAGGATCGCATCAGAACTGCCGTCGTCAATGTCCCAGGGAATACGTTACGCCGAGTTGTGGCAAGCTTCCAACGCCGCCTAGATGAATGTATTGTGCAGATGGGGCATCATATTCAAAAAGTAATCCACCCAATGGACAATGACTTACACATTAGTAAATGACATACCTTTAATTGACATAAGAGGTAATAAATAAATTACAGTTACTGCCTCATGAAGTGTTTTTAATATCCTACTATGAACGCTGCCGCACTCTGTATGAACAGTTTTTGTTCTTTCAACTTACTTAATAGAGAACGATCAATGAACTTAGTCAACTTATCAATTTACCTCCGTGGACCACCCGATGTTCCAGTTCCTAACAAGTTAGCAAAGTAAGGTGCGCTCGTTGTAAACAAAAGTGCCACACCCCATTTCACTATCAAATCTGGAATTCACAGCATCAACCGACATGGAAGGAGGGCGTCTTCTTCTATTCCTACCTCCCATGGTTTCCATTAAGTAATCATCTGATGCACTGTTTTTATTATAGCCCTAAAAAGGTCCAGTATATAAGCTAGTAAATTTCTATTGTCTATCTCATAAATCTTTATTATTGGAATTTTTCTTAACTTATCAAGTTTATTTGTTAGACTCTGTATAATTAATGAAAAATTAATTCATAATGAATTGCTCCTACGTGCTCAAATTTCTGCATTTAGCTTTGTAATCCAAAACTTTGGCAAAATTGAAAATTTGTTAAAACGATACTTTTTTTTTAGCCCAGACGGCGTTAGCCCAGAAGGGCTATGAATTTCGTTTTGGCATTTTGCATTGAAAACTTAAATGCTTTGAATCACTTTTCGAATTGTCGCCAGCCAGTATTACAGCCCTGTATTATATTTAAAAAGATTAAATGATAAAGAATCTGCATAAATATATGTATGTTTCTAGCACTGTGATAAAACAACGGTAACTAGAGCCAGCAAATTTTGAATAACGTAATCCTCCTAATTTGTCCTAAGTCCTAATTTGGAATTTGTTTTATTATCTATTTCATATTTTGTAAACCTTTAACAAATTTTTGATTAACAAACTCAACGATTTCAAAGCGTGCAATGGCAACACTGCGAGGAAGAAAAAAAGAAAAAAAAAAAAAAAATGTATCTCCAGCACGCGAGACTGTGTATCGGAAATTCTAAAGATATGCTCATTTAAAATTATTTTGCGATATTGCTGTTGAACTGAATTTTATGATTTAAGTGCGAAGAACATGATATTTAATAAACAAAGGTAACACACAAAACGTTAAAAAAAAAAAAATTCCCCCTTTAAGTGTAATGTAAAACCTGAAAGCTTTCAAATTTTTCTTTCTTTTTTGATTGGGGGGGGGCGGAGGAGAGGGTATTTTTCTCTTTACATCTTTTATTTTCTGAGATGTAATTTGAATAGCTAAACTATTGATCTTAGGCATGTTAGATCGAATTACTTATTTAGTAATTTAATCGACATATTTTAAATAATAATTTTAATTGGGCTTTAAATTTTTAACACTGTCTTTACACATAGATTGATTACTCAGTGACAAAAAGAGAAGGGTTGCTTAGATTTATGTTTAGATAATTTCAATTAGCAACTTATAATCTGATTCAACGGAAGATTTAAGAGCCAGAGGGCAATTACTCTTAAAAAGAAATATCGTAAATGATTATATACTAGTTTATCCTGTCAACTAAAAGGTTTTTAAGCACAACTTCTAATTTTATTTTTTCTATCGAGTCTTTGAACGATGATAACAATTCACAACACTAGAACTGTTAAAAAATGACATGACTTCTGCATCCAACTAATTAGCAATGAAACAAACACATTAACCAATAATTTTATCATTGTAATGTTGCAGAATTTTAATCTTCCCAGATCTCTGTATTTCAATTGACATTTCTCAGATCTTAGTATTTCAACTGATATTTCTTAGATCTCAGTTAACAATTGTTCGTGTCTGATTACCATTTTGGTTATTGGGGAATTTTCAAACTAAAATATTTTATTGATTTCTGTAACACATGGAAGCACAAATTAAGAAAAGTAACAACGCAAGATCGGCTGTAAATTTCAAGACCAAATTAAGGTAGATGAACACAGCTCAGAAAATGCAAAGTCAGGTCAAGATCAGAGACTAACCGGAGAATTCACCAGCGGGAGAGCGGTAAAGACATTGAACACTGGTAGTTCGGTTTGGGGCTCGAACCCGGACGAACGGGTGGCTGCATGGACCTTTTCATGGTTTTTCTCCCTGAGCAACTTACATAAGAGTCAGTTTTCCTTAGATAGCCCTCTACGAAGACATCCCTTTCCTTAGGCAGATATCCCTCATGTGCTTATAATCAAATAAGCTAAGCCAGGCCAGAGACTACTGAACTCAGTTCAGAAAACAAAATTGGAAATGGTCAACTCAAATTGTTAAGGTTTAGTGCACGCTTAAGTCTCTCAGCAAACTGGAATTCTCCTAATAGAATAAATTTAAATTTGACTCAGCAATGGTAGGCGTTGGATGAGCTAATAGTACTTAAAAATCTGGAAAATCAATAGCCAGCCATCTCGAACAGATATACTCTATTCAGAGTGATTTTGTTCCAAATTCTGTGCCCAAGGAAAAACACAATAATTTATATTTACTGGATATACGAATAATTTAAAACAATAAATATAGATATAACTTATTTTCCGGAGGGCGACTGAAATAGAAAGTCAAGGTAAGGTAAAGCACATGAGCTACCTAACAAAACTAAAACCTTACAATGCTATATTCCCTCCAATGTTGTCTGAACATTTTTAAGAAAAGCAATTTGCTAATTTTGAAAAATCTTCACGTTGGTATAAGTAGAGCACTCAAGCGAATATAGCTAAACAAAACAGCTTACATTAAATAAAAATAACAGTTTTTACAGAATATTTAAACTTTAGGTCTTAATTAGGTCCAAATAATATACTAATTTATTTTACGGCGGTTAAACATATGGTCTTTGAAAGGAACGCACAATGAGAGGAACTGGGCCATTTGCATGAGAATTTAATTTTAATAAAGCAGTTCGGAAAACATATATTTAAAAAGCAAACTTACCTGAAGTATGCCTCCATACTACATGATTACCAACTTCAATCACCCTTTCCGGAACCACAATATACTTGGATCGACTTCCTACCTTCATAGACGTAGAAAGTCTTCTTGTTTTGTACTGCGTGATCAGATATGGAGTAAAGTCTGGTGGTTTTTCTGGCTCCACACCGTACACTGTTGTGTCATTTTTCCAGTAAAGGTAAAAGAAAGTATTTCTAAAAACAAAACTGCCAGGTTTTCCACGTATTCTTTTGTTGTCATCTTCCAGCTGCTGGATCAGTTCTGAGTAACTCTCGTGTTCACGGGGAATGATATATTCATCGAAGTCCAACATGACAACATAGTTGAATAAATACATTGTTCTAAACACACAGTCATTTAATGAAGAGAATATAGCTTCGGTTCTAATCTGCTTTTGAGAACGAAGTGGTAAATTCCATGGAAGAACCGTCACTATTTTCTGCCTAATGTAGGCTCTGAGAAGACTATCCACATTTGGGCCAACCGAGTGGTTGTAGAAGAAGAAATGTTCAACACCAAGAATCCTATGCAGTTCGATGAATTCAACTAACCACGTGGCTCTGTCGTAGTGGTAATGTAAAGGTTTCACACATACAGCAAAATCGCCTTTAGGCGAAGCTATATTTTCTTTATTCTGATAAACTGGTAATAAAGCAGCGGAAGTAAAATTTCGATGAAGGGACATTAAAACTTTCAGTGGAGCTTTGATTTTCTTAGAAACTTGACACGACAAGAAGTAAGATGCATATTTCAATCTCCAATGTTCATTCATTATTTTCGTAACAACTGGAACATCAATAGTTGTATCATCTGACATCACTAATCGGCAGAATGTGGAAGGAGGATTTTTGGTGACCATAATGGCCATTACTCTTACGTAATTACTCAGATCAAATCTATCATCCCAGTAAGCCGAATAAACGAGAAATTTGTCTTTGTCTCGTGGATTATTAGCTTGTATCCAATCATTTAAGCCTGTTTTTGTACGTCTTTCAGTCTGTGTGGACAAAGTAGGAGATTCTGTAGTTAAAAGCTTAGGATGAGCCAAAGCATTAAAAAAATCCCTATACTTAAATTTTTTGAAAGAAATAGTATTTGATTCTGTGGTTTTTAATTTTAAACGAGAATGTTTAGCATAATAACGGAGTTTAATTTTTGGCATGAAAATTTGTGGTTGTATTATATCATCTCTCGCTGGCATCGCTTCCTCAGCACTTTCCGACAGTTTGTAGTTTTGTGGAGAACTTGATGTTATGTTTCTTTTAATGGACGTATAATATTTAACAATCTTTTTAGCTGTCGTATGTCTAGCTGTTTGAATTAATTCCTTGTTAAGGTAAGTTGCAGGATGAAAATCATCTAATTTTACACTAGACAACTCTTTCTCATCTTGAAAATCTTGAACAGTTACCACAAGTATAACAATAATTAGTAGAATAACAAACGCTATGAAGTTAAAGCATGTTATGAAGCGCCTTATCCATCCACGGTATTTGAAGCGTATTGATCTAATAACTCGCTGTGATTTGGACATCCCAATTCTAAGAACTTAAACATGCGAATTTGCAACCCTAAATTTTCTGTAACAAAAATCTTTTTATAAAATATTGTCCATGTAAATTCAAAGTAGTGATATTCTCACAGTTTCCTCAATTTTACGTAATCATGTTTCTAACAAAGGGCTAAAGAAGTTTTAGAATGACAGAGAAAGTTAAGTTGTTGTAGCATATTTTAGAAGGCATGTACTTTTTAATCTTGTAATGAAAACTTAAATGTTTTGCATTTCTTTGAGAATTACTTAATGCTCTTTTCCCTTGAATTAAATCATTTGAAAATTCTTTTTTGTGTTTACCACTGCAGAATTTTTCGAAAATGAACTTCACAAGAAAATTTTCGATTTGAATTATTTCATCATTTCATCTTCGTAAGTTTTTAAACCACTCTGAAGTGACATCTGCAACAGAGAAAAACAATACAAATTTTACACATTAAATGAAACTGCAAGATAAAAAATTATGCATTTTAAGATAGTAAAAACTTTTATTATCCTGCATTAAAAATATATATCAAATAATGCGTATAAAAACAATTTACTAAATTATTTGAGTTTTCTCGTTTTATTTTTTCTAGCAGCTAAGAAAATTTTTTAAAAAAGAGTTCAGTTTCAAATAAAAGGTTTTCGGATGAGGTTTGCAAGAGAACTAATTCTAAGATCTTAAAATAGAAAGCCCATTTTTAGTAAAACTTATTTCAAGATATTAAAAAGTCAATTCATAAAATGAGTAATTTAAAAGCGCAAAAGCATATCTGATTAAATAAAATAATTAAAAATTAAGCATAAAGGAGAGACATGATTTGAAAAAAATTCCAGAATTTAAAGCTTCTGTTCGAACTAAGCGTAAATCTTTTTGTAGCTATGCTAAATTTCTAACTACTCTGCTTCATAGCACACTTGGGTACGGCCTTCTCGTTTTGTATTGCATGATTAGGTAAGGAATGAAGTCTTGTCATAAAAATGATTAGCTATAGAATAAATGCATTGAAAGATAAAAAGGATTGGATTGGATTGGATTATTCAGTTATGGCAAAGCACACGAGGGCTATCTGCCTAAAGGGAGGGATGCCTTTCGTGGAGGACTTTCTAAGGGAAACTGGCTCGTATACACGTTACACATGGGGAAAACCACGAAAACGCCCATGCAGCCAGCCCGTTCGCGGGATTCGAACCTCAGACCGAACTACCAGTGTTCAGCGTCTTTACCGCTCGGCCGCTGGTGGGCCGAAAGATAAAAAGGAAAAATTAAATAAAGTATTGAAACACATTTGCACTTTCATTCCTGTGTGCAAGGATGTTCGAAAATTTTTGTTTGGATAAATTAAAATGAGCTACATCAAAACTAGCAAGTGTCTGTGGAAATTTTGTTTTATTTTGGGAAAACACGAGCTAAAATTGTGCTAATTTTCGAAAAACGCTTTTAAATACACACGTCTTCCGCTTATTCAAAACACCATGACCTAGTACACTGCCTAATACCAGAACACTGCAGAAATGTTAAGTCAATGTTTAGAAGCTTGTAGATGCAGATTGTTCAGTCTTGAGAAATGTAATGTATAATGAATGAAGTGTAATGTATAATAAAGTGTATGTGTAAACTGTAAAATGTTTGATTTACGAATGCATACAAAAGCTAAATAATGAAATATTTATAAATGTTTGGTAAAAATGGGAATGGGATTGGTAGAGGTAAAAAAAGGTTTAAAGTATTCTTGAAGTTTGCTAAATGCGACGAGAAAAAAGCTCATTATGAAACCATTAAATAAGCCTCAGTTAATTAGCCTCAATACTCAATTTTGTGTTCGTCTCATTTTTGTGGCGAATTCTTTTTCAAATAAAAGGATGCTGCCACCATAGCTATGCGTTATTTTTAAAGAAATAATGTAGCAAATGTAAATAATATAGCGAATATGAAAACAAATGTAGCAACACTTAACAGTCTCTCGAAATTCTAAAGATATGTTACTTTAAAATTTTATTATAAGTAATATAATTTGTGAATCCGAAACAGTATATGAGCAGAGGATATACTATGATCAATGCGAAATTTTAAAATTAAAGTATGAGAACGGATCAGCAAGTATCGATATCATTGACTATTGTATGGAAAAATAAAATGTACATAGTGTTTATAACTAACATTGAGCCATAGCGTTTAGAAACAAATTAGACTTTATCTACTAACAATCAACTGGAAGTGTCTGTGGAACTGGACAACTGGAAGTGCCTTACTTAAAGTTCGTTGCACATCCACCACCTCCATGTCTTAATATGGAACTGGTAAGTCATGTGTTGGCTACTACATCAGATATTTGTATCTTTTTATCTATCCTAACGCTTTATGTGACCAGAGACCTCCAGAGAAACTCTTAGAAGTGATATCACATCTTTCAAGTTACATTCAGAACTCCACACTGAGTTCTTGAGAATGCGGTTAATTCCTAATGTCTACGACGAAACCTGGATCATGGACCACTGGAAAAATATGTACGTGGTTTCAGAAGAATGCAGCTTATTCACATTCAACAGGCGACAATCTGGATGTGCTCAGAATTCTTATGACAATCGTGCCTTCGCAAGAAGATTCTCGAATCGCTTTGGCGAAGGACTTGTTTGGCTCTCCTCCTTGTCTTATCATCATTCGATGTCTTCTTATGGGACTATGCTAAAGTCTGCAGAGAGCCATAAGAAAGTATGTTAGGGTCGGTTTCAATAGTCCAGTTCAAGCGGGCTTCTATAAATTAGATTAATGGACATCCTCGGCTTCCTGCTTACACCAGTTTAGAGTACTTTCTATGCATGTATCTCGTTATAACTTTGTTTGAAATGAAAAAATGGCTATCGATGGCTTGCTCTCCAAAAGGTTAAAAAATTCTTTATCATGAAGAATTTTTCTCTCTTTCGTATTTTATATGTATGTCGAAAAGAGATCGAAAGATTAACTTTCAATATAAAATTTCAACCGGTAGAGATAAAAAAAAACAACTTTCTTACCACAGCGAGGGGGCACATGGACAGGGATATTTACTGGTAAGTAGTATGTCATCTGTGCTAAAAGTCTATTCATTTTTAAGTAATGTGCCCATACATGTATCTAATGAAATCAGTGCACCTACGAGATGTGAAATTAGGTATTTTATATTTACTCACGTTGAAGGACAAAATGCAATCGAAATTCGTTGCACCTTGTGCACGTCTGTAGAGAAGTCTTAATGAGTGACAGAAATAGTGCGGAAGTTTCAAGAAGCAGTAATAGACGTTTATGATGAAAAACGTAATGGCAGAAAGACTGTGGCGACTGAATTCATTGTTGAAGCAGTTTACAAAACGGTTCGAATGTCGCTGTTGATTTCCTTCAAATTATGTAAGCGGTTTGTTCAGTGACCAAATTAGTTAAAAGAATTAAATATCGACAGCAATCGGAATGCCTTACGTATCTTTTTTGCTTCTGTAGTCTTTCATCCTGTTTATAAATTTTTAGAAACTGTATCATAAAATTTGTAATCAGTAATAAGAATATTACTGATTACAAATTTTATGATTATTAACAATGATTACATTATTTATGATTATTAACAATGATTAAAATTTTATGATTACAAATTTTATGATTATTTATAAATTAACGCTATGGCTCAATGTTATTGTAATCAGTGAATAAGAAGTTTTAAAATATGAATTAGTATTTACAATGTGTAAAAGATGATTTTGTGTCTGTGATATTTTAAGTAACTTTGCGGCATATTAAGTAAATATGCAAAATATGTTTTCTAGTGTGAAAGAATTAGCAACAAGGAATTAATATCGCTTAGTAATCAGAATGTCTTCGCATCTTTCTTGCTGCTGCGTTCTTTCACCATGTGCATAAATGTTATAAGATGTATTGCATAATTTGTAATGTACAATTCTTAAATCAATATTATTTAAAATGTATGCTATGGAATTTTGTGCGTGACATACTAATCTATATATCAGCAATTTGTAATCAACAATTTAATAGTAAAAAAATTAAGTTCTTAAAGCGGCTAAAAAGTATAGCTAGTCATGACGTTTTGGGGTTGTTTTTACCCTCATCAGTACACAATTTAATAATACTGTTACGAAGTTTGTATATGTGTAAATAATGTTAGTTAAATTATATATAAATTGTAGTATCTGTTGCATAATGTAACATGGCAGGCCTAAACATTAGAAGAAACAACGGGAAAATAGGGTTATTGGGGTAAATCCATTTAACACTGAGGTAAAGCTATATCACTAAACTGGCGAGAGAGTGACAATTGACAATAATCTTGGCGAATAATTTTTACCGCCTAATTTGGTAATAAATCGCCAAAAGTCGCCAAGCCTGGTGACCATTTGGCGACATTTAGGTTCCATACCTACGTAACTATAACTGTAACATCCTTATGTAACTCTAACTGGTACGATCCCTATGCAACTGTATTCTTACTTATGCACAACGTTCATCCAAAAAGTAAGCACAATTTGAGTTTTAAAAAAAATCAGGAATTTGTTTTTAATTGCATTTTATTATAGAAAAATCTACACACCTTAAAATACTTTTCGAGATATTCACCAGGCGAATTAAGGAATATGCCATATCCTGCCACTAATTGCAACATACCCGCTTAGTAGAATTCAGCCGCTTGTGACCTGATCCAGTCCTCGACGTGTATCTGGACGTCGGATATAGCTAAGTCAGGCCTATAAGGAAGGTGACAAAATTGTTCCCACAGAAATTAATCAAGCAAGTCATCCGTTACACGTGCAGTATGCTGTCGCATGTTGTTATGCACCAATATAATACCAGAAGTCAGTAGTCCACGTCTTTTGTTCTGTATCGTGTGTATCGTATCGCTCTCTCCAGTCTACTAACTAAACTTCTTGGCAGTTCCAAAACATGGTGCACATGATTTTTCTTGAAGAAAGAAGTGACTTTGCTTTCTTGGGTTTCAGGAAACCAGTATGCCTCTATTCTAGTGACTGTCATTTCGCTTCAGGTGTCTCGTAGCAAATCGGTGTTTTATTGCCAGTGACAATCATTTTCAAAAAATCATTTCCTTCTGTCGCATAACACTACAAAACTCTAAGGCTGTTCCCATGCTTTTCAGTTTTTGGATGGTAGTTAGTGTTTTAGGTACACATCGCAAAAACAGTTTTTTAATGATATTATTCAATCACAATTTCATGTAATGAAGATCGTGAAATGTTTCGAAAATGCATTGAAAATTCAGAAACCGGGAATTGCCTAATGAAACGAATGTTTTCGTCACCAATTCTTTGGCAGTGCACCAATTCATCGGTGATCAATGACTGGCGTTCACTGTGCTCCTCGTCTGGACATTTTCCCTTCCTTCGTGAAACATCCTAACCCGTTTAACACCATATCTTCAGTC